AAACACCCCGCCACTCTAGAGCACAGGTATGGACACCCTTAGTTTTCTGGATATAAAGTTACTCTTTTTAAGAATAGCTCCCCTCTTTCCCATTGAGAATTTTTAAAGTATTAGTTATAAACATAGCATTTTGTGCACAAAAATGAGATCTATTATGCAAGACTGCATCCACAGACAGCTAATGGAATCTAGCAGACATTATCCTTTGCCAGAAGGTTTACAAAAGTACAGATATAGCATCTACAAATTGCTATAATGCCTTCAGGAGGAGCTGGAGAGCTCTTGAAATCTGTGGGGAAGGAAGAACTTAAAATATAGCTGCAACAGTCTATAGGACTCAAGACTGTGTTCGTAAAGGCAAGAAGGCAGTTTGTGGCATCAGAGTCATGCGCTATTGCAAAATCAAGCAGAAGGCTCACAGGAGAAACCTTAGACAAAAAGTAAGAGCTATTCATATTTTTTAATGGACAGGCTTGGTGAGTACCTTCTTTCAGCAAAATGATCCACAGGAGATTGTCAAAAATATTATCCAAAAATGGTGACTCTGTACCCCAAGGGCATTGCAACCAGTGGGATTGAGCATATACCTATTCATCTTGTTAAACTCATGTTAAAAGTAGCTAGATCATTAACAACCAGAATTTGGCCCTTAATTTTTAAGGGTAAGACTGCAAATCTGGCTCAACTGAAGTCAATTTAGCTGATCTACAGCTATAGTAAGTAATGCAGTGTTGCAGAGCTCTTTTAGTAGAAGACTATTTTTTGCTTTAATTTCAAAATTCTGATTTCAACCTAAACTGTGAGTAGCCTCACTTCCCTTGCACATATACTAAAATCAGGAGTACTTCCACTCGTATCAGTGGAGTTAAACTCATACAGAACTGATGTAATATCTTTTTCTAAGATGCTTCTTGTGGAGATGAAAACACAATTTTTGAAACTTATCTCTTGGTAGAATAAAATGATCAAAAAGGACTTTGGAATATTTTGCTTATAGAATATCTTTTATACTGGGGGGGAGGGGGAAGAGACACAACAATGGGGAAGTTACCTAGCAATGACTCAATTTAGAACATCTGATAGGTCAAGAATTGTTGCTGAATAGGAGGCGCACCTGCTTTAATCAAACAGTCTGTTTACAGAGTTAAAAGTAAAAAAAAAATAAAAATAGAGCAAGGTTACTTCCTCATCACTACAGCACGTAGTCAAATGAAACTAAGTCATGAGGCTAATTAAGAGATGTTAATGCAACTGCTATCAAGCAGTATAGCAGGAAATGAAGTCTCCAACTTGTTTATTGCTGCCTCTTGTCTGGTTCAGAATCTTCCCTCAAAAATACACTTAAAGGACAAGAAAATAAAAAACTGTTTAAATGCCTTCTGCTTCCACTGATTTGAATGGGGTGGGATCATGCGCTATAAGAAGTTTCGAACAGAGCCCCTATCAACACTATTACTTTTAATTGTATTTATGACCAGTTAATGATCTGGTCAGTGAACACAATGTTTTCACAGCAGAGATCTAGCTTGTTCAGCAGTATGGCAGAATCATATTTGTTTTAGCATGATTGACTGACTCCCAGTCCTCTAAGCAGCTGGACTCCTAGGCCGCGCCCAGAGGAGTGCGGCCGTGCAGTACTGCACATTCAGCTGTTCTCTGCAATGGGTTTTTTTGACCCCTGGATACCCAGGGGTCAAAAAATACCTGTGCAAAAAATAAGTAGACCGGTGCATACGAGGGCAGCATACACTGTATAAAATCAAAGCCTGGCCAGCTGAAGCCATGCTCTGGCTGCTGATCAGGTTCCAAGTGGCAGGATCACTGCTGCTGAAGCCCCAGGAGGCCCCCAGGACCTCAGGTAAGGCTGCTGGGGCCAGTCCAGTGCTGGCCCTAGCCTCCCCAACTCCACCTGGGGTAACTTGCCAAGTGCCAGAGGGTGCATGGCACAGGCATTTCCACAGGACAACTAGTGGCAGCACAAGATATCCCACTGCTAATTGTCCCCAGGGAGCTGATCATCCACGCTTGTGTGGATGTGCCCTGAAAGTGCATGTATGCCTCCTGTGGTTCATATGCTGCTTGCTGTTACTTTCCATGTTCATAAACTCTAGTAGAAAACATTTATTTTAAAGCCATACCATAATTATTACAGAGAAATCAACATATGGAGGTCTGAACAAAGCCATTTATAATAGTTACAAATGACCCCTTAATTGTCCAGCTTTATTAAGAGCAGTGCTACATATTTATTTACCAACACTGAAATGCCCCACAGGATGGTTTTCTTTTACTAGAGAAACTATTGGATTTAGACTCTACACGCAATAAAAGGAAGTAAAAACTTTTCACAGCTACATTGGTTAAGTGACTTTCACCAGAGGCCAATAAACCCAGATCTCTTTGCTATGCCTTTAAGCCTTATTAACAAATACAGGCCTGGTTGCATTAATATTGTATCAATAACTTAGATTTCAAAATTCGTACCTCTACAACAGTGTCTCACTGTGACTTTTCCTTTCACAGCTCTGAAGCTGATGCTCATTTATTAAATGCCTCCAGCTCTCCAGATTTGTGAGGCACTCAGAAGTCATTAAGAAATGAAGCCCTCTTAGCCTTTGTTTGGCAAGTATGCTGACATCTCCTGTCAGGTAGCAATGTAAATAAATAGCTGTTACCACCTCAATTTAGCAGATCAATTTCTCAAGGATAGATCCTACCCTTTATTAGGTAATTAAAGTCTTACTAGTAAGTGCCACTTCGCATTTGGAACGGTTAATATTGTCTTAATCAAACAAGTGGTAGTATATCTTTTTGCTGGACCAGGTTGCTAGGATTCTGAGCTCTCACTTCTAATTTCTGGCACTATCACTGATTTCTTGTCTAAGTTCAGGTAAGTCACATCTGTACTCCTGATCCCTATAATCAAATTAGATTAATATCTTAATTAATATTTGTGAAGCATTTTTGCAACATTCTGGGAAAAAGGTGCTGCTGAAATCAAAGGAAGGTCTGTGGCATAGGGACTGTCATTTTCTCTATATCTATAACTTACCCAACACAAGGCAGTTCCAACCTGTTTGGATGTTTGGTGCTACTTCAAAATAAGTATTAAAAATATTTTTCAGGATAAAAAGTGTATAAAGCTAGAATTGCCACTGTTGTGAATAAAATCAGAAATCTGTTTGTTTGTGTGAGGTGGCTGGATTTTGTTAAGTGTTTGGAGCACAGCATGCTTTCCTCATCTGAACTATACAGCTTTCTTCCTTCATTTGTGTTTTATGTTGTTGCTTGTCTTTGCAGGAGATAAAACATTCTTGGGAATGGGTCCAAGACTGTGGAATGAGCTCCCTCACAAACTGAGAACCATCACAAACCTCAGAAACTTCTGCACAAAGAGCAAATCATTTCTTTGACCCTGCCTCCTTTAATATACATACATACATAGCAGCACATATATTAAAAACATTTACCAAAACAAAACACTTCCCTGCTTATGCTATTGCATCTGGGAACACGGTGAGACAAGCAACATCATATGATAAATGTTAGTCACATTTCTTAATATATTACTGGGAAGCACTCCTATCATAGGGTGATAAACACAGTAAAAAAAAAAAAAAAATCTATACAGAATTGCCCTAGGCTTGTTTCTTATAGCACAGGAACTATGTCAAGGTACAAAGTGCTGAATATACAAGCTATTCCTTGAAATTTAGCAAACAAGTGTTTATTTTAAGTTTGATTGATTTCTCTTGTCCCTATACACAACATTTTCAGAACTTAAGGAAACCCAGAGTTACTTACATTGGTGCTCTTTTTGAATGCTGCTGAGTCATTCTTACTTACAAAAGAAACAAACAAAAACCAACCATTTTACTGTAACCATACAAAAATGGAGCATGTAACAATATTTTAACTCTTCTAAAAGTTAGACAAGTTTTATGAGAAAAACTGAAGCTTTTGAAACCAGATCACTTCAAAGTCTAGGCATACGTCTTCTTTTTTTACTTTCAGTTTTATTTGCACTACAGTTCAATAATTTATAGCTCTTCACCATTGCTGACAATGTGTTTTCTTTGTTTCCAAATGAAGAGATGTTATTCTCATATATTGCAAGACATTTAGGAATGGAGATCATCTAATGGTTCCTGTTTTGCTTTCTTTATTGCAACAAGTGTAATGACTCCAGAAGTGCTATACACTTTAGATATACAGTGTATGGCGGTGAAAAGTCATATAGTATAAAGATGCTACTGGGAGAGAAGTTATATTCAGAATAGGAAGGGGGGCAATTCCAAGGAGACTGTTCCACAACTGGAGGCAGATGAACCCTGCTCATGCATTGGGAAGAGAAGATATATCCACATTAGCTCTGGGGTTTTCGTTGCATCCCTGCACTAATGTATCATTAGGAAAAATGTAAATTATTAAACAGGAAATTCCTTCTCTCTCTCTCTCTTTATTTTTCCCCCATGGTCAGCTTGGAACAGACTGGGGGGGG